TTTATTTTTGTGCATGGTGTGAGAAAATGATCTAGTTTCATTCTTCTGCATGTTGCTGTCCAATTCTCCCAACACCATCTGTTAAAAAGGCTGTCTTTTTTCCATTGGATACTCTTTCCTGCTTTGTCAAAGATCAGTTGGCTGTATACTTTTGGGTCCACTTCTGAGTTCTCAATTCTGTTCCATTGGTCTATGTGTCTGTTTTTGTGCCAATACCATACTGTCTTGATGATGACAGCTCAAAACAAATAGGCTTTAACTGGAAGGACAGAGTCATAGTCACCAAGAAAAGAAATTCTCACCTTTTAGAGTGCTTACCCTTTAAAATGGGAAAACGAAGCTGGTAACAGAGTCTTCATCCCAGAATCTTTTGGAAGAGATGACCAGGGACCTTCAAGACTCTATACCTCCCTTTCTATGGATATATTGAGCGGACTGTCTTCACTTGCCTTTCTTTTTCTGTCCAGAGTTATGATTCCCTGGTGATGGGGGAGAAGTGGGGTCTTGAATGTTGCTGGCTGCTACAGATTCTCTGAGGCTCACTTCCTTTGACACCCAGAGTTACCTCCACTAGTTTGGGTAGCTAGGCAGTTGGCCCAAAGAGAACCCTATAGGGAAGAATGAAGGGATAAAGACGATTACAAGAATGACAGCAAGTTGTATGTATGGGGTTATAATGAATCATGCTCTGGCATTGGTTGGATGTACCTTCATCGGCTGCCTTTGGGTGTGGCTGGAGAACATGCCAGGTTGGGGTCAGACCTAGGGCTTATTTTCACAACCCAGGAAGTAGGACCCTGGGCAACACAGGCTTAAGGCTTTGGGAACTCAACCACACGGTGCTTGTTTCTCAAGGGAGGAACCAGGGCAAGGAGTGAGGACCCAGAAAGAGCTTGTTTTTAAGAACAATCCAGGGAGGGGAGGATTTTATTTTTCATTGTGTAAGTCTTATAAACTATTTGAACTATTTACCAAGACCATGCGATTATGACAAAAAGAGACTGGCTTACCATTTGGAATCATGAAAAAAATAAGTTCTTTTCCTTTTCTTACTTAATTTCTGTCAGGTCAGACTCTTGGCTTGGTGGAGTTCAGAGGGAAAAGTCATCCCACAGAGAGAAGGGCAGAGTTTCCCCCGTAAGAAGCCTTTCCTCCCACTTTGTCTGATTCATCATCGGTTAGTAGCTGTGGCCCTGCCAGCGTGGGGAATGAGACAGGGCGATTAGCTATTTGAGAATCCCTGGGTTGGGGTTTGACCACGCTGGGAGCAAGAGCTCAGGCCATACAAAGGCTGAGCTGGGGGTTGCTGAATGCTCCAGGTGGTCAGAACTCTGTTGACCAATCTGTCCTCCGGGCTGGGGAGGTAAAATGGATGAGGCAAGGTACAGTGTAGGGATGGTCATGCCCTGCAGTAGCCCTTAGGATACCAGTGCAAAGTCTGGTGAACCATTCAGTCATTTAACAAGTAAGGACAGGCATATGGATACATACTCAGAAGCTGATGACGTGTGTGGCTTGGGCAGGATGGCCTTGCAGCAGGTTAAAGCCAGGAGAGTCACGTACCTCAAACCATTGACAGGAGCCTTGCTCCAGACCTCAGACCACTGACTGGAAGCCATCATTGTGCCTATAACATCACCCTGGACAGCTGCTCCATTCCCCACCAAACAAGGCCCTGATGTGGGCTGGGTTCCAAATTACCCAACTTGGGAATGCAATAGATACCCTTAAAGCATGTTGATCAAGGAGAGGGAATCTTTGAGTCAGATCGTATAAATATTCATTGGTTACATCTTAATCTCAGTGTTACTTGGAATTGTCTCAGCAAAGCAAAACTCAGTCTCAGGAGGTTCTGTTAGGGGGAATAGGGTTGCCTAATTGCCTGAGTATTTTTTCAGGGTTTCAGAAAGATGTTCCCTGGACATTCTCTGTCCCCCATCCTTCCTCTTAGGATTCACTAGCATCAGCCACCATCTCACTCCTGATTTGTCATTTGCCATTTTTATCTATCCCAAGTATTCAGCATCAGTGTGGGTGTTGGAGAGATCCTGGCCCCAAAATCTCTCTGTTCACTCTTCCTACAGTGGTCCTGATGTTGGTACAGACAGCAAGAACAGTGCCTTATGTAGGCCACTGCCCTAAACACACACTGCCTCCTATTTAAAAAAAATTGTTTTTAACATTTATTTATTTTTTGGGAAACAGGGTATGAATGGTAGAGGGGCAGAGGGATAGGGAGTCAGAGATTTCGAAGCAAGCTCCAGGCTCTGAGCTGTTAGCACAGACCCCCGATGTGGGGCTCGAACTCACAAATCCTAAGATCATGATCTGAGCCAAAGTCTGATGCTTAACTGACTGAGCCACCCCGGTGCCTCACAGTGCCTCCTATTTATTTACACACAACACTGATTTCATAAAGGCTGTAGCCATCACCCACAATCAACAAGCTTAAAAAAATTTCACACATCGGGGCACCTGGGTGGCTCAGTCGGTTAAGCGTCCGGCTTCGGCTCAGGTCATGATCTCACAGTTTGTGGGTTCAAGTCCCGTGTCAGGCTCTGTGCTGACAGCTAGCTCAGAGCCTGGAGCCTGTTTCAGATTCTGTGTCTCCCTCTCTCTCTGACCCTCCCCTGTTCATGCTGTCTCTCTCTCTCTCAGAAATAAGTAAAAAACATCAAAAAATTTTTAAAAAAAATTTCACACATCAGAATGGTCTCATATTGCATTTAATCGGTGTTTGCTGTTCATAGTATGTTTTTTTTCTTTTCAGACACTTTACTGCTAGAATCTATAGTTTGTTTCAGTTCGCAGCGGCCTGTATGGATGCTGTGATGGGACTGTGGCAGTGTACCAGTGTAGGCCGTGCTTTCATCAGAACTGCAGGATGCTCCTGACCCCCTCCACATAGTGGCTACCTGGGGGCAGCTTCCTCAGACTCCCAGGCTGCAGGAACTTACTAATTGTAGGGATGCTGCTGATTCTTGATTTAAGTGCCTGAAATGAAAGCCAGTGACTGAAACAAAAGCCTCCACAGCAGTCACAACCTTTAAGAAAATCAGAGCTTTGTCATGGGAGGAGACTGCTTAGGCTGCCAGCTTATGGACCCCAGGGTGTTGAATCTGGGTTCACCCCTCAAGGCCTGTTGGCTGGATGTTCCCAGGAACGTAACACAATTGCTAGTATGTTTAGCTTGAATAAATTGTTTTGTTAAACAATCATTCAACAATCATTCCGGTGCCTGCGTGGCTCAGCTGGTTGTATCGGACTCTTGATTTTGGCTCAGGTCATGAACCCAGGGTCATGAGATGGAGCCCCCACACTGGGCTGAGTGCTGGGCAAGGAGCCTGCTTAAGAATCTCTCTATTCCTCTCTCTCTCTCTCTGCCCCTCCCCCACTCTCTCACACACACACACTCTCTCACACACACACAAAATAAATAAAAAATAAAAGATCATTGTCTCAAGTAGGTACATATAAAAACTCTGAAAAAGTCATATTCTTTGACCTACTGATTCTTGTTCTAGGAATTTCTTATAAGGGTGAGCAAACAAATCACATAAGGTATGAGCAAAGAAATAACAATAAGAATGTTAGCAAAGTGAAAAGGTGGAAATAACCTATATTTCCAAGAACAGAAAACTGGTTATATAAACTATGGTACATCCCTACAAAGTATATAGTCCAGTAATTTAAAATTATATAATACATAAAAAGAAGAGGAAGACCCCATTATTGACAGGGAAAGACCTCTAGAATGTACTGTTTTGTTCAAAGGGAAAAAAAAACCCAAGACAGAATAGAATACGTTTGCTGTTTTGGGTAAGAAAGCCAGGGCTGGAGGTAACAGATAAATTAATATTCATATTTGCCTGTATTTGCATAAATGAGAATACTGGAAGGGTACACAGGAAACCAATAAAGGTGATTATAGGGGCAGGAAAGTGGGATGGCAGCGGTAGGAATGAGCTTTCTGAATTTATGCCTCCCCACTGTTTTTTAGTTTATTTATTTATTTTGAGAGAAAGCGGGCAAGCATGAGCAGGGGAAGGACAAAGAGATAAGGAGAGAGAGAGAATCCCAAGCATTAACAGGTGACAGTGTGGAGCCAGATGTAGGACTCGATCTCACGAATGACAAAATCATGATCTGAGCTGAAATCAAGAGTCAGATACTTGGGGCACCTGGGTGGCTCGGTCGGTTGATAGCTGGAGTTCAGGCCAGGTCAGGATCTCACAGCTCATGATTTTGAGCCCTTCATCTGGCTCTGTGCTGACAGCCCAGAGCCTGGAGCCTGCTTTGGATTCTGTGTCTCCCTCTCTGTCTGCCCCTCCCCAGCTCGTGCTGTCTTCTCAAAAATAAATAAACATTTAAAAAAAAATTTTAACATCTTTTATTGAGTTTGATCTGGAGATGCACTTTGTTTTAGTCTTTGTTTCTATTCACTTTTTCTTGGGCTTCGTGTGTGTGCTAATACACTACCTTCAGTAGAGGGAAGTCAGAAAGAACAGAAGCATCAAGTTCTTCCACCATTAAAATAGCTTCCAGAAGCTGTATGTCTGCCCAACTGAATCTGTTGCCAACGAGAAAATTCTGTGGTCGTTCAAAATCTGCAGAAAGAAAAATAACAAAGAATATCATATAAAAGTCAAGACTATTTTGCCTGGCTAACCACTTATAAAAGCAGGGACTCTTTTGTAAAGATTAAATCTACTAAAGAATCTTTTTTCTTGATAATCTCCAAGAATGCTGGAAAGGGTCAGATGAAACCAACTCTTAAACACTCCTAAACTTGCTGTAAATTGGCACAATATTGTTGGAAATTTGTCAGTGATCATCAAGATATTTTGGGTAGTAAAGTGCTGGAATGGAGTTCTCTCTTATAAGCCTAGGGCTGGTTATGTTAAACTGTACCCACTAGCATAAGGGAGACACAAAGGTCATGATTAACTAGAATCTGGCTACTATCCCACAAGTAGAAATAAGTCGCCAATGGGATATCAGAAGCCCAAACCTGAGCCTTTTTACTATCCAATGAAAAGTGAATATAAAAATCCCTCAGGTGTAGCTTTGAGTGGCAGATATACAAAATATGGCTTTCCTCCATAGGTAAGGAACAAAGATAAATTCAGGCACCACATCTCTTCCTGGGATACAGGGGTAAAAATAAATGTTAGTATGGATGAAAAAAATGACTAGAATCAGTGAATTCTAGAGTATCCCAGCCACAGCAAACATAAAAACAGTTGATGGAATATATTAAATATGCCAAATATATGGAATGTGATTCCTGCAGAAAACAGGCTCATGGCCACAAGTTACAAAGCACATGATTTGTACTTGAGATAACTCCTTTATAAGACAGAGGCAGCACATTGACAAAAAAGAATTCTGAGCCACAGAGCCAAATGTAAAAGTGGACTCTTAAAAATTTTTTGTTTTTTCTTTATTTTTGAGAAAGGGAGAGAGAGAGAAAGATTGCAGGGGAAGAACAGAGATAGTGGGAAACACAGACTCTGAAGCAGGTTCCAGACTCTCAGCACAGAGCCCAACTGTCAGTTCTCAGCACAGAGCCCACTGCCGGGCTCGAACCTATGAACTGCAAGATCATGTCCTCAGCCAAAGTCAGACACTCAACTGACTGAGCTGCCCAGGCGTCTCAAGAGTGGACTCCTAAAGGAGTTAAAAATACTTAAGATGTACAAAGAGATAATGGGGGAGGAAGGCACGTAGAAAAAGGGGGGACATAGAGGCACCTGGGTGGCTCAGTCAGTTAAACTTCTGACTTCCAGCTCAGGTCATGATCTCATGGCTTGTGAGTTTGAGCCCTACATCAGGCTCTGTGCTGACAGCTCAGAGCCTGGATGGAGCCTGCTTCGGATTCTGTGTCTCCTTCTCTCTCTGTCCCTCCCCCACTTGTGCTCTGTCTCTTTCTCTCAAAAAATAAATAAATGTAAAAAAAAATATTTTTAAAGAGGGGCATTCTTGTTAACTAACTTGGATTTAAGTAAAATTTAAAAAATTAAAAAAAAAAAAGAGGGAGATTCTTCAGACTGAAAAAGAAGGGAGGAATCAAAGACTGTTGGGACCATGTCAAAAACCAGAAGCAAACTTGACGAAGCTACAACTGGCCAAAAGATAAGATGCTTGAGCTTCTATAATGACTTCTATAATCACTGAAACTAATGTAACATTGTGTGTCAACCATACTCAAATTTACTTTATGTATGCATTTTTAAAAGTTTATTGGGGGGGGCATGTATATGCACATGTGCATGCATGGGGGAGGGGCAGAGAGAGAAACACAGAGAGAATCCCAAGCAGGTTCCCAGCTGTCAGCACAGAGACTGATGTGGGGCTCAATCCCATGAACCATGAGATCATGAGCTGAGCTGAAACCAAGAGTGGGATGCTTAACTGACTGTTGCACGAAGGTGCCCCTATACTCAAATAAAAAAAAAAAAAGAAGAGCTCTAACACTATTCAAAGCACAGCACAATATTTAAATTCATGGCAATAAACAATATTATCACATTATTTAAAGAACAAAAACAAGAATGAAAAATCAATAAAACCATTAGTCCCCTTTGAAGAAGCTAGGTAACTAACTCATTTTGAAAAACAGTGAACAAAAAAAAGCATCAGGTATTTATCTTCCTTTCCTAACATAAACTGCACCCCAAAGTAACTAAATATATTATGACTGAACAGGAAGATTTTATAGAAAGTATGCCACTAATAAATAAAGAAGGATTGGCAGGATTGGGTGTCAGCATTTTGCATTCATTAATAAATCAGTGGGCCCAGGCATTAATCATCAATCACATTTAGTTGTAAGAAGAGGGACAACCAGATAATGTCTGCTTCCTAATGACCTTCACAACATCACCTATGACACAGTCCGGCCAAAATAATCATACCTGGGCACAATTAGGCTTCTAATTCTAACTTCCAATTGACAGGAAATTTACAGAATAAAGGAGTATGCTGCACTTAGTAAAATCCAGGCTATGGGAAGCTCAAGATAAATGCAAGAGGAATAAATAGAAGGAGAGAAAAGGGGGAGCCTGGGTGGCTCGGTCAGTTGAGTGTCTAACTCAACTTGATTTTGGCTCAGGCCATGATCTCCTGCTTCATGAGATTGAGCCACAAGTTGGGTTCTATGCTGACAGCAGGCAGCCTGCCTAGGAGTCTCTCTGTCTCTGCCCCCCTCCCTTGTGCACTGTCTCTCTCAAAATAAATAAATATTGAAAAAATAGCAAAAAAGAGGAAGGAAACTTATTTAAAAGAAGCTTAAAAATGTAATTGACTACAAGAATGAATTTGAGGATTTTTGGGGGTTTTTTTAATTAAAATACAATTGACACACAATGTTACGTTAATTTCAGGTAAACAAACTTGAGTTTGACTCTGATTTGAACAAATAAATTATTTTAAATGTTTTGAGGAGTATTAAATTAGGCTACACAAATTTCACAATCTGTACTATGATAAAGTCCATTTAACATTATAACTCAAGTAATCACACTAGTTGCTGTTTTTTTTTTTAATGGAAGGTGTTTCAACAACACTGTACCTTGTTCCAAATAAAGAGGTGCTTGCTTGTCTAGTTCTGAGGTACTGGCAAAACTCTTCATTGTGGTTTCATCTGTAATAAATCATTCTTTCCCCAAGACTAATACTGAGGAGAAAAACCACAGAATTCTTCTGTGGAAGCCTTTATTTAAGGAACCCCATGCCTACATGCTACCTTACCAGATGTATTTCCAGGACATTCCTAATTATTCACTCCAAAATGATTTCGGAAAAGTTGTAACTTTAAGAGGGCCTTATCTTTTGATTGAGGCATGATTAGCCTCCAGTATTACACGTAAAGAGACATCTGACAGTGAATTTAAGGTGATGAAGCCCCAGGCTGATGGCTTTTTAAAAAATCAGAACAGAAATGCTGTACCTTTCATTGCATTTGGCTTTTTCCCATTCAGTTTTGTTAGAGGTTCCAAAATTATGTAACCCTTATTAAAGTTTTGGTCCAGGTATAGTAAAGCTCTACCACAGCTTCGGTCTTTTCAGATATTCACACCTGAAATATTCTTCTTAGAAGAGGAAGTAAGTCCTGAATCCCTGCATCCCGGGAAGAGGAGGTGGGAACTTTCACCGCCCCCGCGTTCAGCCTCTTCGGCCCCGACCCCAGCTCTCTGGTGGGATCCGAGGGGCGGGCGACCTCTGGAAGATGCCAGCCCCGCCCCCTGCTCTCCCAGCTGGACCTGCGCGCGCAGCGATCGCGGAGCAGGACCTTGACTCTCGCGAGAGCTCCCCGGCAAGTCCGCCCCCGCGCGTTAAGGCCTCCCTGAGATCCAAAGTGGATTCCTGCCCCCTACGTTTTCAAAGACGGGAAGTAACGGGTTTTAGCTTTCTTCACGATTAAAGTAAGATCCTCCTCTTTTTCCTCAGGGGGTTTGAACGCAGCCAGTACGATCATCGTCATGAGATCCAATGTGTGGACGTACATGTGATCCTGACAACACAACGTGTGACTCTGATTAGGACGCGAGCCTTTGAGTATGGGGTTCCCTAATGCGCCACAGCGGTGGTGCAGATGGATACTGGGGAAAATGACTTTTCATGCCCCCTCCCTTAAGATTCCATGCCCAGGAATGATTTCTCCAACTAGAGCCATCCAAGTGACCAGGGTAGACTAGCGTCTCTGGAAATGTTTATTGAATGAAGGGATGTGTGGAAAAAAAAAAAAAAAAGGCTAAATGCCTCTAAGTTGATATCTGACATAAACAAACAAACAAATAAATGATTGTGGTTTTCAAAACCCAGCTGAACGAAGGTTACCGGAAGTGCAAAACTATTAGCACCAGATCCTTGTCAGTTGTTTAGGGAAGATGTATAATCTAGCAGGTCTTCCCTTGACATGGCAACTGAGAAGGAAACGTTTGCTTTCCTAGTCAGATCAAACAAATACCTTGATTCATTCTCTTAAAATTTTCCCCTACATTAACAAACGCAAAAAAAAAAAAGGGGGGGGGAGATTAAAAAAAAGAAAAACCCTAACAACAAGAAAAAACTAAGAATGGCAGACCTGTGACCATGATTTATTAGCCTGTTGGTGCAGTCATGGGGTGCAAGTTGTCTACAACCAGTATGCAAACAGTAAGGGTGGTGTGTCTGTGTATCCCCCACTATATGCTAACTGCCCAGCAAATTTGGTTCAGTGATCATCTCTATTTTCAACATATATAAAAGCATAATTTACTTTATTGTCCTATCTGAATTACAAATCACTTTTCTTACATGTTCGATTGTCACCTAGCCTGTCACCTTTAATTTGTAAAAAACACATCAAAACAGTCAGAAACAGATTGCTTTAGCATATCATTACTTGTTTACATTGTTATAAAAGGATGCTTTTCACACACTGTTTGAAATTGCTTCTCTTCCCATATACCTGCAAGTTAGGTATGGGACTGCAAGTTAGGATGACTAAATTCATTTTAAAGGTGGATCTAAAGAAGAGGGGTGTGCTGCTTCTTGTTATGGACTTTGTTCATTCCTATATTATACTCTCCTTTTTCTGAACAGGTGAACTTAGGCCTTTCTCCTACCTTGTCTTTTATATATGTGTATGGACCAACCAATAGTGTTCATGCTTATGGTGATAAGATTTCATTCAAGGACCACTGAAATGGCCCTTTGACCCCAAATACAGATAAAACTTTTATAGTTGTAAATCTTTGCTTTGTCTGTAGTTTACTTATCTCATGTGAAGCTGAACTGTGTATTCCTGGGAGTAATAATCCAGCCATCCTCAGCCAGGCCTAGCACAGTGCCCAGCACAGAGTAGATGCTTGTGGTATATACATGCAAAACAGTGGACACAAAGCTTCACTGTTCAGTAATTGTGATAAAATCTGACAGCTCCTTCCATCATTAGATGGGGTCTGTTTTCTGGAATGACCTCATGACTTGCTTTAACAAATAGAATGAGGTGGAATTGATGACCAGTTCTGAGCCTAGAACTTAAGAAGCTTTGTGTGCTTTTACTCTCTCTTAGAACCCTCTCTAGCTGCTCCAAGAACAAGCTCAGCATGAGAGGATGAGAGACACATGGTGCACTTACCCCTCAATGGATAGTCAACACTCCAAACCAGAGCCCCCTGACTGATGACTGGTTGACCAGAGACATAATGAGTGAGTCCAGCCAAGAGGAGTCAAGCCTGGCCAAGATATGCCAACGTCCCCATGACCCACAGACTGGTGAGGAATAAATGCCTGCTGACTTTAAGTCACTGTGGTTTGTGATAAAGCAGTATTTGTGGTAATAGATCATTGATACAATGCTCAGTGTTTATTTGCTGAATCAGTCATTTACACCTTCATGTAGAATGAAGTCTATTAAGTCATTTTATGAGAACCTATTTTGTGAGGAGTGGGAGAGGATATGAGTGTTGAATGCAGACCACCATGAGTAGTAAAAGGGGAAACCTGGAGTATTCAGAGCTATGCACAAGACACATGGATATAGCAAGAGCGTCTCCCCTTTCTTCCCCTTGCCTTCTCCTCCTAATCCAGGCTGAAAGTCTACACCTGAACTGAATCTCAGATGGTGCAAGACAACAGAGCTTGGATAAGAATCAAGTACAGACATGAGCACTGTGGTACCTTACTGTCTCCTTCAGGTTCTTCCCATACAGGTCGAACTTGGCAGCAAGGTAGCTGAGGATGGCTCTAGTCTTGTCAGCACCATTTCAACTATTTCAACCATAGGCACTTGGCCAAATACAGGTGTCCATCTATGGACTGAGCAAAGAGAAGTTAGGATACTCTCCTTCCATGGTTGTGGTAAGCTTGCAGGAGGGTCCCTTCTAATTTTGTTGAGTAGTTTTTAGTTTTCAACCAAAGTGGTGAGCTAATGACCCCAGTTGTTGAGGAAATTCCTACCATTTGCTTTATGGAAAATTTGATATTTGCTTGATGGTTCCAAGCATTTTTGTGCATTGGTTAATCATGACTAAGACACTATACATTTACTATGACTGTTTATATTATAAATGCTTCTGGTTCTCAAAGTTTAGGGTATATGAAAATCATCTCAGGGAGATGGGTTGTTAAAAATACTCACCCACCCCCCAGATATTCTGGTTCAGGGGTGGAGGCTGGGAGCCTGAACTCTATGAAAAGCACATCAGGTATTATTCCAGGTCTACATAGCAGCAGGATGGATGTGACAACAAGAACCCAGGCAGACCAGGGCCAAATGCCAGCTTTAGCCTTCCCCAGCCATGTGACTTTAAGCAAATGATTCACCTGAACTTCAGCTTCCTTTTCTCTAAAACAATAATATCTATCAAGCAGGATTTTTGAAAGGATGAAATGAGATACCTTTAAAAAATCACTGAATACTGTCAATAATCGTGTTTAGTAAAATTAAACTAATTTTAATTTAGTGACTGCCTATATAAGTAATGCATTTAAAGATGTGCTATAGTGCTCTTTTCATAGGATAGGGTCTTGAAGAAATACATAGCCTTTAAATTTCCTTTACCACCTGCACATTGCTGAGAATAAGGAACTTTACCTAGGCTAGGAACCAGACTTCACTAGTGCATTGTCAGAGGCCCTAATGAATTTCCCTAGTTTCCACTGTTGTTGCTACTTGCCTTAATGAGAGGCAGTAGAATATGGTGGACACTGAATGATCATCTAAACTGGTCTCTGTGCTACTGCAGAAGTCCATTAAAAATGGTCCATGCTTCTAGGAACTGATGATCTTCTTCAGAGAGACTTTTAAAAATCTCAGATCAAGAGTGCAGGGAAGGATTTTGCAATTATTTAGTTCATTCATATTATAGACTATGGCACTATGGAGGCCAAGAGAGCAAACATGACTTGCTCACACTCACAGTCAGGAGACCGCTAAGCCAGCAGAAGTAGGTCTTCAACTCTCAGCTCAGGGCCCTCTCTGCTGTCCTTTTCTGCCTCCTGTTCACTAATAATAGTAATGCCCAGGAAGGTGTCTGAAGCACAAGAGCAGCATCACAGACTCAGGAGGATCTCCTAGGCTGTTAGGGAGGATTTCCTGCCAGAATGATCACGAAAGAGTTTCTGGAGATACATTTCATTTATTTATTCAATACATATGTATTTACTGCCTACTATGTACCAGTGACTGGCCTTGTTCAGGGTGGAGGAGGGCAGAAATGACAAGAAAGAGGAGCTTCAGGGGCATTCCAGGATTTAATAAAGTTCCTGGACAGGAACTGGGGAAGAGTTAGCTGGTCTTCCCCATTCAATGAGATCTACTGGCATCCTGCATCTGTGACCACAGAGGTTCATTTTATTTTATGGTAAGGAGACAGGACACAGAGAAGTTAAAGGCCTTTTGCAGTCATACAGTTTGTAAACGGTAGGTATGCTGATTACTAGTTGAACATTTTTTCAAAAAATAATTTGTGTTCAGGGCGCCTGGGTGGCTTAGTCGGTTAAGCGTCCAACTTTCGCTTAGGTCATGATCTCGCGGTTCGTGGGTTCGAGCCCCGCGTCGGGCTCTGTGCTGACTGCCAGCTCAGAGCCTGAAGCCTGTTTCAGTCTGTGACTCCCTCTCTCTCTGACCCTCCCCTGCTCACGCTGTCTCTCTCTCTCTCTCTCTCCTAGAAATAAATAAAACATTAAAAAGAAAATAATTTATGTTCATTTCATGACTGTTTATCAGCAACAATGAGAACATGCAGGTTTCCTTAGATTAGGAAAATAACGTTGTGGCAGTTAGAGTTTAAGAAGTGCTGTGAAAGTACTAATCTTTTCTCTTGGGAATTGTGACAAAAGTGAGAAACTTTTCTTGGGAATTGTAAGGCTGAAGGACTTCTTCCAAATTTAATCAAATTTCGATCTTTCATATAGTCTTGGTTCTACATTGTAACCTGATAAAAAATGGCATCTGTTAATCTGCTGAAATCACTAAGAAGTGGATATGAGCCAATGAAGACCAAAGAATACCTTTGGTCACAGAAATAGCACTGCTAGGAATTTACCCAAGGGATACAGGAGTGCTGATGCATAGAAGCACATGTACCCCAATGTTCATAGCAGCACTCTCAACAATAGCCAAATCATGGAAAGAGCCTAAGTGTCCCTCAACGGAGGAATGGATCAAGAAGGTGTGGTTTATCTATACAATAGAATACTACATGGCAATGAGAAAGAAGGAAATCTGGCCATGTGTAGCAACACGGATGGACCTTGAGGGTGTTAATGCTGAGCGAAATAAGTCAGGCAGAGAAGGGCAGCTACCATATGTTTGCACATATAGGTGGATTAGGAGGAAGCTAATGGAGGACCGTGGGGGAGAAGAAGGGGAAGAATAGTTGGGGAGAGGGAGGAGGGGAGCAAACTATGAGAGACTCTTGAATGTCGAGAACAAACTGAGGGCTGATGGGGGGAGAGGGGGGAGATGGGCATGGAGGAGGGCACTTGTGGGGATGAGCACTGGGTGTTATATGGAAACCAATTTGATAATAAACTACTAAAAAAAAAAGAATATCTTTGGTCAAATTCCCCTTCCCTTTTACTCCTTCCTCTCCAACCCACTGGATCAGGATTTAAGAATTCTAAAAGGATTCTTTAGTGGAGTGGGGAGTATTGAACCAATTAGCTGAGTTAACCCATGCTATCATATCTAATTGAGGTCAGGGTCATAGTCTACTTGATAAGCTTTTATGAAGCCTAAGGAGACAATGCAGATGACAAATTTAGCTCTGTGACAGGGATACAGTGAGCATTCAATCAGTTTTAGTGGTCCTTTTCCTAATAGTTGTCACTGTAGAGTTCTGTGTTCTGTATTGAAATGAATATTTCCAGAAACAAATTTTTATTTTTTTCTAGTAAGATAACATTGAATAAATCTAGGCTCACCCTTCTGCAGCTTCTCATATTGTTCTCTTGTTTCAATAAATTCTCCTTCAAACTAGATAAAGGACAGAAGCATTGTTACAACATTAATATCCTCAGAGAGAGAGAAATGTTCACAGTATAAAATGCCCAATGACTTCCAGAATGAAAATTTTATTTTTATTTATTTTATTAAGATTTAATTTTTTTAAAAAACTTTTAATGTTTATTTATTTTTGAGAGAGAGAGACAGAGCATAAGCAGGGGAGGGGCAGAGAAAGAGGGAGGCACAGGATCCAAAGCAGGCTCCACGCTCTGAGGTGTCAGCCCAGAGCCCTACGCAGGGCTCGAACTCATGAATTGTGAGATCATGGCCTGAACTGAAGCTGCACACTTAACCAGTTGAGCCACCCAGGTACCCCAAGATTTCATTTTTAAGTAGGGGGTGCCTGTGTGCCTCAGGTCACACAGTCTCATGACTTGCAGGTTATGTGTTGGAGCCCCAAGTCAGGCTCTGCGCTGGAGAGCCTGGAGCCTGCTTTGGCTCCCCCTTTCTCTGCCCCTCCCCTACTTGTGTGCACATGCTCATGCTAATCCTCTCTCTCTCTCTCAAATAAGTAAATAAACAATAACAAAAAAATTTTATTTTTAAGTAATCTCTATACCCAATGTGGGGCTCGAATTCACAACCAGAGTCACAAGCTCCACTGACTGAGCCAGCCAGGTGCTCCCAGAATGAAAATTTTAAAAGGAACCACAACGTTGTCAATTTAGACGCAGCTGAAAATTCTGCCAGTGTGTGTGTGTGCAGGGGGCATGGGACTGGCACCCCTTTGGGGGTTTTGCCTACTTAACAGGATATCCCCAGCCCCGTTCATATTATTTTCTTTTCTTCACATTAGCTCTTTTTTCTCTCCAAATTCTTGTCCTTTTCTCTAACTTCCCCCAATGATTTCCCTCCTCCTATTCCTCTCTTTCCTTTCTTCTCTCTCTTCTGTGTCATTTCCCCTCTGTATCAGTCCAAATTAAATTTCTCTTCGATGCTTGTACATTCAGTGAAAGGCATCAAAGATCATCAGTCAGGTGGGGTTATCATCATTTATTGATGGAATCTCTGAAGCTACCGTGGCAAAGAGTGACTTTTTTGTCCCCTAAGCCTTGAGTTAGGAGTAGGATAAAGTGAACAAAACTAAGAAGGTCATGCATGAGTCCATGTTTTAAAGAAGATGGCATTCAAATAGGGAAAAGGACATCTACACCTGCGTGAAACCAAACAGTTCCAAAGCATTTGTGAAAATCTATGGAAAATTCAGTGGTTAAGGAATTCAGAATTAAGGACAGACCCCAATGGGACAGACTTTTCTGGGCTTTAGAGGAGACCAGACTACAGCTGGGAATAAGGTTTCAGTGGGCAGCCGTGGGTGGAACAAGGTGCCAGGCCAGTGCTGGAAACACTCTGGAAATCACTTGGTTCCAGTGAAAACAATGATGCAGATGTGGGTCTCCTCTCTCTCCTTTGTCTTATGAGTCATCATGATCTCTTCAGCTGCTACGAAGTTTCTGAAACAGCTCTCTACACTTCCACACTCCCAACCCTGCTTAGAGAGGACTACGATCCCTCCCTCACCTCTTACAAAGGAAGACAGGTAGAAAGGGAAAGCGTGGATCCTTCTCGAAGGCACCACCCTGAATTATGAAAGGGGGAAAAAGAGCACTCCAGCCCACCCAAATTACCCTCCTTCCTTTCCCAGTCAGGGACCAACCTCCTACTCCAGCTGCAGACAACAGCCAGTGGATCAATTCCATCCTGCCCCTGCCACGAAAGTAGCAGAGCTTGGGTTTGGTTGTCATGACTCTTGGCTCAGAGTTTTCTGAAGGGCAAAATAAGAAAAGTAAGAAAAGCAATAAAACAATGATCAGAGAAGCAGGATGGTGGTTACCTCCAGGGAGGAGAACAAGGGTTGTGATTGGTGCAGGGGTGAATGAGGGAGAGTCTGGAATGCTATCAATATTCTGTTTCTTTTCTTTTTTTAAACATTTTTGTAATGTTTATTTATTTTGAGAGAGAGAGACAGCATGAGCACGGGAGGGTCAGAGAGAGAGGAAGACACAGAGTCCGAAGCAGGCTCCAGGCTCTGAGCTGTCAGCACAGAGCCTGACGAGGGACTCGAACCCGCGAACCAGGAGATCGTAACCTGAGCCAAAGTTGGATGCTTAACCAAGTGAGCCACCCAGGTGCCCCAATATCCTGTTTCTTAAACAGAATTAATAATCAGTCTTTATAATTAGTCTTTAAACTGCACGTAAATGCACTCCCCTGTATGTATGCTCTATCTCACAGTTTAAGAAAAAAAGAACAAACTATACTTACCAAAGTATCAATCCATAGATTTGAGAAACTATCTCTGGTATTTTGAGAAAGGATCCAGGAGTTAATATGATGGTTTCATGAACGACCTTGCAAAAGAAAATCTTTCCTAACAGTGGCAAGGAGCTGGGCCATTTTGGACTGAAATGTTCTGTGGGAGTTGGGCCACTCTTTCATTTCTGTCACAAGGATTTTCTGAGTGTTGGGACAGGCAGAGATGCGGGCCTAGTCAGGACCAGGATTCTAGTCCCTATGTGGCCCCCAGGGAGCTGGACAACCCTAGGCCTAGTTCAGTAGGTCTGTCCACCTGCATGTCCTCCTCTGTAACTGGGAAGGGTAATACGAGGTGCCCTGCAGCCTTTTCAAGAAAAGTATCTGATAACGCAGGCATACCTGATAGCACTTTCTACCTCACTGCTACAAGGGCCACAGTGGCTATTACACTAGTGACCCCTGCCTGTGTCACAGGATTATTGAAGGTGCTTTGAGAATGTTAAAGCTCTATACCAACTCAGAGAACTGCCAGTCTCCTTTTCTCACATCTGCCTCTCTGACCCCATAGGCAACAAAGCATGCTTCAAGGAAACAGTAAAAAAGCCAAACTGCTGACACAGTGCACATGGGTGCAGTGGCTGGGAGGGTGCTTAGGTGAGCTGGGCAGAGAGACAGACCTCAGCTTCCCAAAGCAGCCCTCACCGTGGTCCTTCGCCCACCAAGCCCTGGACTGCCAGACAGCTTGTCCTAGCTGAGATTCCACTCGAGGACACTGCCTGTGCTAAGAAAATTCACAAGAAAGTAAAAAAATCAGAACACTAGTAGCTCGGTTCATGATGAAGAATTTGGCTATTAATACCCCAAATCCTATGACGACAAAGTCACTCAGGTTCACAGAATCTTGCAGATGTTTTGAGGCCATGTTGCCCACAATCATTCTGTTTTCTTCTATGTTGGATTGACAGTTTAACTCTTGGAAAAGCTGAATCCCTTTCTTTTTGTAATGTGGAACGCTTCACAAATTTGCATGTCATGCTTACGCATGTATTCTTCCAGTTTTAGTGTATGTGCTGCCAAAGCCACACCAGTCTCTTTCTTGCGGTGGTCTTTCAGGCGGCACTCACTGCCCATGTTGGGTTGCTGTTAAGACTCATTTCTTTTAAGTTGTCTCTTTGGCTATTGAATGTTGAAAGTGTCAGGAGCTTCCTAAAAACCTGCCTCTTTGTCGTCTTGGGAAACACAATGGTTAAAAAGACACCCAAATTCCCTGATTAGAGAAACACGTTTGGGTCTAGTAACTCACTACTAACACAACTTAGGATGAACCTTACAATAAAATCAATGTGGAAAAAATATGGCAAGAGGGAGAAGGGAAATGGTGCCTTCTTGTTTAACCTCATCTCCCTGATGAGATAGCTCTTAAATTCTCTGGTCTCCTACTGGTCCCACATAGGATAGTTAAGGAGCAAATGCAAGCGCTGTTGGAAGTCAGAAGGAGGAGGCCGTAGCAGTTTGCCAACATGCCAAAGGCAGACAGGACATGCATGCCCAGTGGGTTCCAGCGCTAGAGAAGTTCACACCCACATGGGACATGTTTCAGGTATTGGCCAGAGGTCAGAGAGGCAGCAAAGCAAGCAAACAGACAACAATATTAACAACAGCAAACCCTGGGTGACTGACAAATGATTCAAGCCCTTCCAGGGCTCTGTCCGTCCTGCTACTTTCAGACAAAAATAAAGCAATACTGGAAAAGTTAAATATCAGCATCCAGCTTGAGGAGCCCCATCTCTCCACTCTCTGCTTAGCGCATGGAACTCCAACGAATTTGGCCCCTCTGTACCTGCTCGGAGAGAGAGGAATGAGGCTGTGAATCTAGCTGGGGCTGGTCTCAGTTAATTCCTGTTGTTCCATCTCCTTGAAACATTCCACCAGTCTAAATTCTGTTTGAAATAAAGCTTATGGTGAAAGAATATGGACATAGGAATTCCTGCTAACACTCCCCCCCCTTTTTTATGTTTGTTTATGTATTTTGATAGAGACAAATAACACAAGTGAGGGAGGGTTGGAGAGAAAGAGAGACAGAAAATCTCAAGCAAGCTTCACACTGTCAGTATGGAGCCCAATGCAGGGCTCGAACTCACAAAAGCATGAGATCATAACCTGAGCTGAAACCAAGAGTCAGACACTTAACTAACTGAGCCACCCAGGTGCCCCAGCTAACACCCTTTTTATGGTGATCCTGTCCTGCCTCCCCCACCGCCACAACCCACACACCCACCCACCCCCGCCCCCCCCAGTTAGCCAAAGCTGAAAGTTATCCTTTGATTTAGACCTTGGATCCAGAAAAGGTCATCTCTGGTAGCCTCCAGAAAGCTGTTTCTAAGCAATTGTCATTTAAAATGCAGGCTGAATGGTCTTTCTTCTGGTGGTGTTTTCTGCTGGGAGAGGCACAGTCAGAGGACAAGAGGGGAAAGCTGTGGGTATATAACCAAGAATATGGATTAACAGCCACCCTTGGGCACCTGGATGGCTTAGTCAGTTGAGTGTCCAACTCTTGATTTTGGCTCAGGTCATGATCTCAGCCGAGCCCCATGTCAGGCTCCAGACTCCTCACAGAGCCTACTTAAGATTCTCTTTCTCTCTCTCTCTCTCTCTCTCAAAAAAAAAAAAAAAAAAAAAAAAAAAAAGCCACCCTAGCTTCACTGAGAGAATGAACACTGAAAAAGCTGAGGGCTCAGATGTGGATCTGGTCCATTCACTTACGGCCCACCCTGCCAGGCATGGTACCCAACTATGTCCAATCCTCAAACAGAGATGACAAGTCTGTGTTACTATCCCCATCTTTCTTTCTTCTTCTTTTTTTTAATATTTATTTATTTTTGAGAGAGAGAGATACACAGAGTATGAGCAGGGGAGGGGCAGACAGAGAGGGAAACACAGAATCTGAAGTGGACATCAGGCTCTGAGCTGTCAGCACAGAGCCCAACATGGGGCTTGAACTCATGAACAGTGAGATCATGACCTGAGCTGAAGTCCGACACTCAACCAACTGAGCGACCTAGGTGCCCCAACTATTCCCAGCCTTCACAGGCAAGCCCCACATTGGGCTCCACGGTGACAGTGCAGAGTCTGCTTGGGATTCTCTCTCCCCCCCTCTCTCTGTGCCTCCCCTGCTTGCACTCTATCTCTCAAAATAAATAAATAAACTTAAAAAAAAAGAAACCCTTACAAATATACCTAGTGATGGAAACATCTAGTCTACGAAGTTGTAAGAATTAAATAGTGTTTTATAACGAAATACAATATGGTATTATAAGAATTGGACAGAGCCATACAGAATGAGCATATAAATTAAATTTTTCTGAGCCTTGCCACTCCCAGCCCCACGTTATAGGTTAAGGGCATAAACCAGGTCTTTAATCCTTCTTCCTTGACCTCTAATGAATTTTGACAAAGATCAGAATAAGCCACAGCTTGGTAATATAGAAGACCAAGTTTGTTCATGCTTCAAAATGTAAACTCAATTATTCTCATTGTTAAAAAAAAAAAAAAGTACATTGTCAAATCTGAAAGGAACAGGTACAAAGCAAATATTTGTTCCTTTCATGTGAAATAAAGGGAACAAAGGAGCAGTGTGTCCTGGATTTCACCCAAAATGCAGACATTCTGCAAATACAGCCGCTGGGAGATCCAGAATCTGAGGTATTGAACTCACCATAAACTCACACTCCACTCACTCTGCTTTTTCTGCTGCTAATATTGACCAACATGTACGTCCTAAATTAAACTAACCTGGTTCACCAGGTAGGCTTCCCACGCAGGGCTTATTACATTGCATTGGAAACTGAGAGCCACCTCTTGGGGCTCGCAAACTTGACCTGCGTACAGCATCACTGAGATGAGCCTTTGGATGCCCTCCCCACTCAGAGCCCCAGGGGCCCATGCCTAAGACAGAGTCAGCACAAAGCAGTGACAACAGCATCACAACCTTTGCATAGTTAAAAGTGTGGACCTGGGTAAAAAATATGCCCCAAACCTTTTAGAAAATGTGGAAGAACTCCTAACTGAGTTATGCCCTGGGTACCAGTAAAAGCAAAGACCTAAGTTCAAATTTTCGCTCTGTTTCTCACTTGAGCAAGTTTTTTAACCTCTCTGAGTCTCAAGTTTTCCTCATTTGTATAATAGTTCCTACTTCAGGTGGGTTGTTATGAGGGGGAAATGAGCTGTGTGCAAATTGCTGAACATAGTAAAGACTCAAAAAATGAGAGGCACACACACATGCATGCACACACACACAAAGGCACACACAGATTCCCTATCTCCAGACTGCAGTAACATTCACATGGGAGAAAAGAAGTGAAATTTGCTTCTGAAAGGAGAAGGCATTCTCCAGAAGTGTGATTTTTAGACTAGCAGCATCAGCTTCACCTGGGAGCTTGTTAGAAATGCAGACTAAGTCCCTGGGTCAGAGCTACTGAATCAGAGTCTATGTTTTTCATAAGAGCCCCAGACAATTCACTTATATATTAAAATGAACTTTGAGAAGCCAGGTCTGGAGTGAAAACCCAACACAACTGCATCTGCGGCTCAGTGTGTGGCCCTAGCTCATTCCTCTCAGGAACTGTTGCGC